AGGGAGGGAGGGAGGGAGGGAGGAAGGCGGCATCTATCAAAAACAATATATCCAAATAAGGGATCAAACATAACTTGGACCTCCAGGACATTATTTATATTTGTGATTAAAGAGCTCTTGATGCTTTTATCTGTTTGTCCCCGAGTCTGGATTGCCAGAGAAGTCTCACAGGCAGCCTTTGGTGTTGGCTGTCTTGACTGTTCATGTCCCTCATTTGTACTTCACACTCATTCCTAATCCTTGGAATTTCCCAGTCATCTCTGTCCTTCTCTCCTCAAAACTGGGACCCTGGGAAAGCTCCCCACTCTCAGATCATTCTTGTGGAGGTTCTCAAATCATCTTAGACAAAACCCTTTCAGTCACTCTCGTAGACTAGTAGCTCTGCAGGCATCTCCCATGTGGAAATCCAATAGCATTACAGGGCAGCACTTGTTGAGAAGGTCCTATTTGAGGTGGAAATACGGATTTTACCATGTCTGGAAGCATCTAGACCAGCGGTTCTCAACCTTCTGGCCCTTTAAATACAGTTCCTCATGTTGTGACCCAACCATAAAATTATTTTCGTTGCTACTGCATAACTGTCATGTTGCTACTATTATGAATCGTAATGTAAATATGTGATATGCAGGATGGTCTTAAGTGACCCCTGTGAAAGGGTCGTTTGACCCCCAAAGGGGTCGCGACCCCACAGGCTGAGAACCACTGATCTAGACCTTTGCTGTGGGGCCATGGACCCTTACCAGAATCTCATCCCATGAAGGCTGACCTAAATCTTAGGGTTTTCTTTGGCCAGAACTCAAACTTTAGGACTTAAAGTCAGTTTATTTAATCTTGTTATCCACCAAGCTGCCCTAACGATGGAAATGAACAGAATCACGTCTGTAGCTAAGAGAGAATGATGGAAACTGTGGTGGGAAAAGAATCGTGGCTGTGGATGTGGATGGTGGTGATAGTGGAGATTATGCCAGAGAGAACAAAGGCACATCCTTAATCAGGAGACACTAAGCTAAGACTGTGCACCGGAAGTTGGGGTGGAAGACTTGGCCTTCATACTTGGGCAAATGACAGGCCATAGTTCCTCTGCACCCCAAGAACAGAAGCAGGTGCGCCCAGTTGGAGATGCCTGCCACCTCCAGAGCCCACAGAGTCATCGTTCAGCCCCGGAGGCCTTTCCTTCCTCTTCCGGATGCAGCAGCACTTCTCCCTCCATCAGTGAATCCAACTGGAGTCTAGTTCTTAAAATACCTACAACTACCCTTGTAACAACAGAGGCCAGAACGTTGGTCCATCTTGAAAGAGACTGAATTTACTTTTCCCCACTCCCAGGGTCATTAACAGGAATGGGAAAACTCGCCAGGAGTCTGCTCTCTGGAGCTGGAAAAGGGGGTCCCTTCAAGAGTAACACGTTCCCACACATGAGTGACCTTCCAGCAAAGACCATGGGGGACAGTGCAGAAAGAGCAGAGAAGGGGAACTTTAAGTTCCTTTCTGGCCCCTGGCTCCACAGAGAGACCTTGTCACTACCTGAAAACACAGACGGAACTCCTGGGCACCCGCGCATGCCCTGAGCAGCACCAGGGGGCCCACCCCTGAGCTCTGAAAAAGGAGTGATTTCTCTACGCAGCTGAGTTGCTCTCAGAGGTCAGCTGTTTTTCTAATAAAAACGGAGGCTTCACTGACACACAGTGAAGATGGGGCTCACTCTTCAGATACCTCCACAGAAACACAGATGTTGTTGCTTAGCTTCGTGCATGCCAAGGGTCGCCCACGTGGCCACACGGCCAGGGTGGAGTAACCGACAAGAGAATGGAGGCCTAGGCCTCAGCTGAATAATCCATTAGCAGAAGCTGCGCTCACAACCCAATTTCTCGTTTTTAGAAAACACGACCATCGAACAGAAAGGATCTGAGCCTCACCCCTATAAGGCTCCTCGGATAGTTCCCATACACACCCTGCAAAGGTTTCCAGGGCCAGGCAGCAGACCCGCTGCAGCTCATCTGGACAAGATGTTGTTTGGTTCTATTACCAGATCCTCAATCAAAGCCCAAGCTCTCAACACACATCTCCCTTCCTCTATAGTCTTTCTTCGCTCACCATAACTTCCACTCCTGGGAGAAAACCAGTCACAAAGCCAAGTGAGGAAGAAGGTTTCCTAGCCGAGACCTGCCAGAGTTCAGGTGATCAAGGACACTCTTGCCATCCAAACAGCCCCCCTAATGAATGCTCCCCCACAGCAGAGCCCAGGGTGCAGGCCATGCAGGGATGCCTCCCAGAGATGCTGCTGGTTCTGTATGTTGAAAGACCTCCTAAGAGCCGCCTAGAGAAAAGCCCTGATGCTTGGCCACGAGGCAGAGTTTCCAGAGACACCAAATTGACATAGTTCCCTTCGCCCAGATATGGAAAAAGACCCAAAATATAAGTGTTTTTTCCTATCACTCTTGGAAATGATCCCTTCGGATAGAAGGGTACTCTTTGCTTCCAACAATCAATGGCTATTCATAAACAGAGGGGCCTGAGAGACTGACCAGGTCTCTTAGAGTCTTCTCCCCACTCCCCCCAAAAATAAAAGGCCGTCTTCGGTGTTTGGCAGGACGGGCCTAGGGCCCTCCACTGAGCCCACCCACAGCAGCATGCCCACCGAGGCTCAGAGGTAGGGGCAGGCGCCTACCTGTGTAGCCAGCCAGGGCAGCAGCGAAAGACAGG